CCTCCCTACAATTTCTTTCCTTCCCCCTCCCTCCAATTTCTTTCCTCCCCCCCTGACACCCGGCGGCCGGCACGCGAGGGAGCACTCTCCTCTGCTGCTTCCTCTTCAGCCCCCTCGCGCGCCGCGTACTGATGCCGGAGCCGGAAGATGACGTCATCTTCTGGCTCCGGCATCAGTACGGTGCGCGAGGGAGCTGAAGAGGAAGCAGCAGAGGAGAGTGCTCCCTCGCGCGCCGGCCGCCGGGTGTCAGCAGGGCCAGCCTCTGGGGGGCCCTGAGGTGGCCTGCTGCTGGGCCCCCCAGGAGAAGAGGCTGGCCCTTTGGGTACATACCGGGGTCGCAGGGCCCCCTGCGACCCGGTATGTACCCACTGAATCTGGGGCCCGGACGACCTGAGCAGTCCGGGCCCCCCAGGACCGCCGGGCCCATGACAACCGTTGCGGTTGTCATGCCCTGATGGCGGCCCTGCTGCTGCTGATTGGCTGGAATGTGTCTGCTGACTGTGAGGTACAGGGTCAAAGTTTACTCAATGATGACGAATAGGGGGTGGACCGAACAGCGCATATGTTCGCCGTCTGTGGCGAACCGTTCGGGACATCACTATTTATGAGACCTTGTGGTGAGTTTTCAGCAGCCTAACATTGATTCAGGCTGCCAAGTTGTATTTTCTTTATGTACGATTATAATTTCTGCATTCTTGCAGGCACGGTTTAAAAGTACTCACTACCTATGCATAAAATCAATACAGTATGGGTGTAAAATAAATGAATTAATCATAGCAACTCCTTTGTGGCGAATGTGCAATTAAAGAGCCCCTCCAGGCACCATAACCACTAGTGCACTTTGCACAGGTTGTCTGGCATATAAATTCAACTTTCTTCAGGAAGGCCATTCAAGCGCTGCCTAACACAATTAAGAATTCATGTACCTCCCCAACTAGAATAAATGAATTACACAGCTGCAGCCATAATGTAATTAGATGATAATCACCATGGAAACCAATGAAACCACCTGCTGATTGCTCCACCTTTAGAGCTGTGATTACTGTACTCTCTATTTAGCATACACTATATAACCTGTTAGTATATGGAGGGTGTCAGGAATTTACAATGTATACACTGTACTATTTCCTAAACTCAATCCACAACTGGGAAAGACAAGGAAAACTGCGTGAGTGCGATTTGCCCATAACAAACATGGCGGCCGAGTGCCACGCACGCCCTGACTTGGCTTGCCAGGAGGCGGGTGGCACCTGCAGACGAACCTGCCTTCTTCAAAGATGGCGCGCGCGCTCTCTCAGCGGACTGGCTCACAGCCTTTCCCTTTGCAAAGATGGCGCTCGGAGCTTCCACTACCGGAAGCGCTCTCGAAGGTGACCTATTCAGTCAGCTGCCTGGCTCGCTTTTGTAACGTTTCGACACGCCATTGGTTCGGACCCCGGCAGCGGCTGCGATTGTGTGTCTTCCCACAGCAGTTTCTCTCGAGATCCGGCGAATACAGTGACAGAGCAAAGAGCAAGATGGCGGCGCCGGGGGGAGAGACTCAGGTGAGGATTTAGACTGGGAGCATTGGTGGTGATTGCAGGACCCTCCTGGTCTGAGCACAATGTGTGTGTGACTGCCATGGGGGAACCAGGGGGGGATCAGAGACAGGTCTTTACATCACTGCCACAATTAAACTCCTCCAATGTACAAATATTGGGATATTGTTATTTTATTTATTTTATTATGGTGTCTATGGGTTGGGTGCAGGGGGTTTTAGGACCTCACTGTCCTCTCCATTCAGAATGGTGATGGTAATCCATTTTTCCCCATTTTCTTCACCCCTCCCCCCACCATGGTGTGATGAACTTTATTCTGCAATTTAATGGCTGACTGTTTTATAATTTCTTACTTATTAACTCCTCAATGCAGTCCCAATTATGTTGTAGGTGTGTAAAGTACAGGACAGAACACGTTGCATGGTTGTTCACTATAACCATTTACATGGTTTTGACTTTAAAAGGGAATTTAAATTGATAGGCCAAAATAATAATGGGGAAAAACATACATTTTTACAGTTTGGATATTTTGTATTTTTTTTTTTTCATTTGTAATGTCGATGAATAAGCAGAGTTGGGTCATTAGGTGTTAGGATGCTTAAATCATATACAAGATGCTATAGGTTTTGTAAAGTACACTGGCAAATATTGGCAGAATTCTAGCAATCTCCACCCCCTCCCCCCACCCACCCCCAAACCTCTCTGTGTCACTCAGTGGATTTGATCAGGGCACATATCCTCTGCTTGAACAAAGGTAAGTAATTTAATGTCTTTTTGCTCAAATAGGGGTATCTTGAAATTAAAGGATTACTGTAGTCACCATAACAATTGCAGTGATGTGTAGTGGTTATGGTGTTAATAGTCTCCAGGTGCTGTCCAACCATTAATCTGTAAAAATATTTATAAATGGTTTGACATTTACCTTGTGTTGTCAGGTGATCATTTTCCTTCTAGTCCGTTATAGTCTGTTAAAGCTGAAGTTTATACTACCACATTGTCATACTAATTTATACCTGCTTTAAGCAGTGTTTTTGTTTGAGAGCCATTGGCAGCGCTTTAAGTCAGTGAATTCTTTTTAAACCTGGTATGATAATGCTGAATTACGAAATTCTGCTTTTTAGTAGTGACTCATACTGGATGAACTGTGGGGGACAGACACAACAAGGTGAATGTCAAACCATTAGTAAACCGTTTGACAGATGACCAGCAGACAGGGCCTGAGGACTCTTAGCACCATAACTACTACAGTGCACTATTGACACAGTAAGCTCTTTAATAGTATCTAAAATCCAAAGTAGTGCCAGTTTCACATTAAAATTACACTTAAATTCCACATGGCACTATTGTGTTATATTTAAACCAATGTTAGTTCATAGGTGACTGTGAAAATAAGGCTACCTCCATTTATATAATTAATGTTATCTTTTTAGAAGCTCATGGGAAAAGTAGGACCAACCTATGCAAAGCTTTCATTCAATATTTAATGCCATCCTCTAGTGTTGTAGGGACACTCTAAGCACCATCACAACTTTGCATAATAACAAAGCTGATGGTGCATCGAGCACCCTGAACTTACTCTCCGCTCTAACAGGTTAGACTGTAACAATTTGTCAGTTTATAAAAAGCTCTGTGACTCAGGCAACCAGAATGCTCCTTTCAGTAGTTATGTCTGTTTGATAGTAGTTACTCCAGCATCACGTCTTGGGTTGAGCTCTCGTTCTAGCAGTGCACTAAGCAATTATAATAGCTTATATAGCGCCAACATATTCAGCAGCGCTGTACAATGATAAACCAAATCAAAAGTTGGTGAAGATGAAAACTGGTAGCAGTCTTGATATTGCGGCTGTACGTTTTACGTTTTGTGATGGATTGAACTGCTCTTGAATGATAGGGAATTATGGGATAAGATGAGACCCTTCCTGATAGGATGTCTCTTTCTAGTGAAGGATTGGTCTGCATGTAGCTACAGTACATCTGAAGGATACTTTGAAGGTATGTATCCGTTTTATTTTTTTAAATTTAGTTTTTTACACATTTATAATTCATTATCTGTATAATGCTTTATAAATAGGCTGTCATAAGCTATAGATTCCCTTACCATTTTTATTATCCATTAATTAGCTCCACAGTCAAGATCCTTCTTTCCTCCTCCGTTTTTGTGGCTATAGAGGTCGCCCACACCTGAGAGGCACAGCAATGCTTTTCTTCCTTCTAAATGGACACTTCAAGCACCATAATCACTACTGGCCCTGTCCTGGTTATGTTGCCTGCAGTACCCTTGCTTCATCCCATGGTGAGATGTGAAACGGTCTTGGTACTGTTTGACTTACCTGGGTCCTGCCAAGAGCTCTCAGCCACATCCACTGAATGAGGTTTTCTTCAATGTGGGTCCTTGCTCGTTGTCTGAAAACACTCAGAGGACACCCAGCCAATGAGTACACTCCTGCAATGTTCTATAGAGCATTGCGATTCTCTTGCCGGAGAAGACTCAATGTAGTGCATGCAGTCTAGATCTCCCAGCTGGTTTTAGGTTAAGTTGTTGGACCGTGCTAAAACGGTTTGACATGTTACAGTGGGTTGTAGTGGATATGGTGCTGATGGTCTTTTAAATTGGGGGAAGTGAGCTTTCACCTGATATTTGTACATATATGTACATTAAAAGGATGACATTATTACAGCGCTAAAATAGTCTGCTGTTTTGCAACTAGATGGAACTTATGTGGTCTTTTCTCTGTCCTTCAATCTGGTCAGAAATAACCAAATTAGAACCACTCTCCATCTCAGCTTTTGGTCGTAATTTTGCCATTTCCTGGTGAATTCTAGACAATTCTTATTTTTGTTAATAACCCAGACAGGAGACTTTCACACTGAAAACTTTAACAGAAAAAAACCCCTCTAATAAGCGGTAATTGATCGCATGTACAGCTTTCCTCTCCGTAGACATCAGAACAGTTGCAGACTTTATTAGAACCTACAATAAACAAAAGACAAGGCTACCCAATCTATACTAATAGATTCCTTCTTTTTTTACCACTTTTTATTTATTTTTTCCCCCTTCTGTCCCTGGATGCACAGAAGCATGTTTATGTAAATGAATTCGTGGATGGCTACAGCTATTATCTGTACTTTCATCTACTTTCTGGTCCAGCTCTTTGTGCAGAGTGAAGCAGAGCATGCTGGGATATGACTAGGCCTGCAGTTTTTTGATTAATAGAATAGACTGTAGATCTGAGATAATCAGCTGGGGTGGAAATACAATTCTCACAATGCTCAGCAAAGATCCAGAAAGATTAAACGCATCACAAAATTGTAGTCATGCCTCATTTGGAGAGCTACCTGTTGCCTCACACAGATTTATAGATAAACGGTTTTATTGTATTAACCTTAACTTGCGGTATGTATGTTATTGTTTCCTTGCAAACTCGACCTCCCTGAGATATTGCACATATCATCAAATTGCGTTGAGGCACTGACAGACTTCTGCGCCTGGCTACTGCATTTATTGACTGATTCATACTTGTGAGGATATTGCATAAGGAAGATAATTTGCCTTGAGTCCTCTTCTATCCTAGTGTTTATATGTACCAAGTGGAGAATCCATTTTTTTCCTAATTAAGTTTTATTTAAAAAACAAAATTAAAGGATCACTATGTGTCAGGAAAACAAAGCGGTTTTCCTGACACTATAGTGCCCTGAGGGTGCCCCCACCCTCAGGGTCCCCCTCCCGTGGCCCTGAATGGGTTAAAACCCCTTCAGCAGCTTACCTTATTCCAGCGCCGGGCTCCCTCGGCGCTGGTGACCTCTCCTCCCCTGCTGACGTCAGCTCCCTTTGTCGACGTCAGCGGAGCCGAATGCGCATGTGCCACAAGTGCCGCGCACGCATTCAAGCTGTCAATAGGAAAGCATTTCTCAATGCTTTCCTATGAACGCTCTGCGTGATGGAGGCATAATATCCCTCCAGCATCACAGTTGTGCCTCAAGTGGCTGTCCGGAAGACAGCCACTAGAGGCTGGCTTAACCCTGCAATGTAAACATAGCAGTTTCTCTGAAACGATGTTTGCATCTGCAGGGTTAAAACCTGAGGAACCTGGCACCCAGACCACTTCATTGAGCTGAAGTGGTCTGGGTGACTATAGTGTCCCTTAAAGTATGATTTTGAAAAGCAAGATTAAATAAATTGTATATTATAACAAAAATATATTAAAGGATCACTTCCGTCACCATAACTACGTAGTCTGTATGAAGTTGTTATTGTGCTAGGAGGTCACTGGTCGCTCCCTTAGCTTAACCGGTTAAGGACGGAGGTATTTGTCCGCGTTCTGAACCCCCAATTTTTTTTGAGCTATAGATCTGTTCCACCGGGATTTCAGTGTTTCTTTTCAAGTGCCTCTGTACTTATGAATCGTTTGTTAAAGAACAGAAATGGCTTTAATTTGATTTAACATATATGTATATATAACTTCTCATTTATAATACAAAAATGCAACAAAAACAAAGTTTTTCAACGTTTTGACAATAATAATGTGTTTAAATAGTGAAGCTTATGAAAAGTAATTCAAAATAAATAAATTTTTTTGTCCTGATTTACAGAGTTCATAATATCTCTAGGATTTCAGTTTATTTTTTGTAGTTACAGGTCACAATTTAGAAGGAGTAAAATAAAATTATAATATTGTGCGAATTTAGAATTTGGTATGTTTGTCATGTAAGATTAATAGTGTTCACAGAATACAGAATTGCCACAAAAAGTGTATATTTATATATCACAGGCTATTAAAAACACAATGTCTGGTGGGTACAAGATACACTTCTACCGATGGTGGACTGCTAAATGTGAAAATTAAAGGGACAAATACCCCATGTATATGTTGGTATGTACAGAATAATATATTTAGGACATTAAAAAAAACAACCCAGAAAAGAACAGATTATAGTGCAGATGGTAACTAAGTATAAGCAATATCACATGTAATGGAGCCTATATATATTGGCTCCATATTTAGGGCTGTTATGCTCTTAGGGCAGCATGACACCACTGCTTTAATTAAGATGTTCACTTCGGTAGAAATAAAAGATAGAAAGACATCCACTGTGTATTATATCAATATAAAACAAATAAAAGTATAAATTGGGTATTGAGCTCCCCTTTTACAGAGCCTAAACTCCCGGCTATAAGGTATAGTGCCACTATAGAGGGCATGGTACAACTTTTTATTTTTCAGTTTTTACATAATTATTTTTTCTGCTTATTTTGTAAATCTCCCACTTTAATATAATGATCTTGGCTATAGTCCCCAACATCTTCTAAGTACAATACCCCATTTGTATACCTTTGCAAAGTAACAATCTAAAAGGAACACCATAGTGTCATGAATACAAACCTATGGGGCGTGTTCAGCGCCTCCATGCAAAGTGTAAAGACGCTGAACGACTGAGATAGGAAGTACCTCTAGTGGCTGTCTAGCTGTAAAAACCTGCCTTTTCTCTGGAAATTAAACTTTAGCGATCTGGCAAGGGGGATGGGTGCCATGGGGACCCCAAATTCTGGTTATATAGTTTGAGAACTGACCCAGAATTAGGGGATGGTGCCCACGGTCTACTAGTACCATAACTAATACAGGGGCATGTGGGGTTATGGTACTTATATTCACTCTTTTACAAAATAATATGCAGTGCTCATTCATGTATACCTAACAAATTGCTAGCTTTGAAGGAAATGTAGGTCAGAGGGGTTACTCCAACAACTATGACCACTTCAGTATTTAGTCATAGTATATAGAGATTTTAAATTGCTGTAGAAGGTGTAAAACCACCACCAGCAGCGTCTTTAGTACGTCATAAGTGATCCTGGAATGAGTTGGGGATGGGCTCATATCAATTTTGTGTATATTCTTTGCACAGATGCTCATTCTGTGGCTGAGAGTAATCTACTAAGGCAGCACGAGCAGATTGTTGTTAAACCTGCTGCAGAGGAGAACTAGTGTCCAGGCGTTTACAAACCGTTGGGACAAACAGCACTATTACCGGATAACAGTGCTAGGGTACTCCTGACATCCTAACCACTGGAGCTGTTTGCAGTGGTTATGGTACTTTGGGGCATTTAATCCTGGAGGAAGCCAATTCCTTGGTACTTGATGCAATCGTTGCTTAGTTTGAGCTGGCTTGTAAAGCACACGGGCCAAAGAAAATTGCTCCCACCAGATGATTAGATCAGCAGAGCAGTTTTCACAGTATGAAACCAAGGGGGCTGCACTCACCTGGACATGCTTACCTTTTATGGGTATGGAGCCAATTCACTAAACAGCAGCTTCAAAGATCACAGATTTTAACTCTTGTATAATTAAACTTGGAAATGCTGGAAAAAAGGAACAACTAACAAAAATTGTATCTTTATCTTGTACTCGATCTCTCGTTTGCAGAATTTTCTAGTTGCGGAAGAAAGGCTTTATCCGTGATACTTATTCCATCTGAGCGGCTTTCTGTATTAATCCTGCAATTGTTACATGATCAGTGTTCAGTATCAGGCAGCTGCTTTCCTATTTGCCAGCAGCAGATTTAAGGCATTCACATTCCTTATAAAGGGTTACTCCAACAGAAAAACAGTGTTCTAAGAAAAAGCTGTTTTTCGTCAGAGCAGCACCTTCCTTTCCAGTGCCAAGGCCAAGTTCTCCCTCAGCCTGATCCTCCACTACTGACATCGCTCCTGTTAGGGGGGACGGTTTGAGGGTAGGACATAGCCAAAATGGAGAGGGACATGATGTCAAGCTGACACTAGCCAGACTGGAACGTTCTGGCTGGTTAATTACACCCCAATGATGTTGCCTTAGGTGGAGTTATACTTCATAGCAGAACGCTGCGCACACAGACTGCAGGCACCATGACCACTGCAAATCAGTGAAGTAGTTATAGTGCTTAAAGGAACCCTTTAAGTGAAGCTGTGGACTCCTTAAGCTGATTCTTTCCAGGTTTTTAACATATTTTGAGAGTCGGTGTTTGACACAGAATAACTTTGTAGGAAATCACTAAACCGTTTGGTGTGGAGATAAAAACATAATTGCAGAATGAAACTCAAATAGACAAAATAATTTTCCTATTCTGTCTGTATCATTGCAAGGTTATTGTTAACTCTCCATGAATACCATGCTTTAACGATGTTACCACAGTAATGATTTTTAACAAAATTCAATCTAATGGTAGCTCCATTGAAAGCAGAACAATTAATGCATATTTAATGTATTGTGTTTAAAAGCTTTCAATTAGTTCAATGGAGACGGCGTGCTCTGTATGTGTATTGATGCTGTGTTTACAAGTGTGGTCTTAGTTACAATGTATCCTCTACGGATCTGGCTATTTATATACATCTATGCTTTAAAGGAACACCATAGCTTTAGGAATACAAACTTATATTCCTACTGCTCTGGTTTTTAACTGCATATTTTTATTTCCTTCCAGTCGGGAGAGGGTTTAACATGAGATTTACCTACTTTTCAGCAATCACTATTACAGTCTTCATCCTGCAGCTCTGCCTCTTTGGCTTAAGTCATCAATGTTGATTATCTCAGCCAGTCCAATGTTTCCCCATAAGAAACCATTGGGAGGCTATTTTGCATGCGTGGCAAATCTACAACATCTGATTTGAGTTGCTCAGTTTAGCTTAACTATTGGAGTGGGGAGTGCCTTTAGTGTTTAGGGTTAAAACCATAGGGGCATAGCACTAGACCACTTCATTGAGATGAACGGGTCTAGGTGTCGATAGAGACAGTTTAATGGGACACTATAGCATAGGAATACAAACCTGTTTCCTAACGCTAATTTGCCTTAGTCCCTATTTAGACTAGAGGGCCCACCCCCAGCTGCATTAAAAAAAAAAAGTTGTTTTTTATCAACTTTTTTCCCAGCTTTGAGGCACCCTCAGTGGTGCTGCCACTCTGCCTCCTGCAATTTTATCCATGATGCACGTGTGCGGTAAGTGACGTCCAATGCACAGCAATCACATCCTGAACTGAAACTGCCACGCACAGTCAACCCATAATTCTTACCACGCAAGGTGATCTCCTAAATAACCACCCATGGTTCCCTAAAATTCTTTCTCTTCATTGCTAGCAATTTGGCTCTCAAAGTGGCACTAAGTTATTTCACGCATGACTTAAACTCTTAGTAAGAAAATAAAGGAAAGTGAAGTGTCGACACTGTTGCTGTATAGATGATGGTTTGACTAACCCCCTAAACATGTAGGGTTTAATTTGTGGCTTTGTTTAGTTGGTAAATTGTGTCATTGAGGGGAAATTGTCAGGTAGTTTTGGGTTTTGTGACGTTCTATATAATAAATGTAAAGGAAGTTAATTTTAGGAAGTTATATTTTTGTATTTAATATGAAGATATCATTTTTTTTACTTTTTTTTTTTAACTTTTTTTTTTCTTGAGTCATATGCGACTACATGAGAAGTTTGATGCAGGTCAATAGAGTGACGCAGTTAGTGTCACTAGAACATGTGCCAAAAGTCGTGTCGGAATTATGATGTATTTAAATTGACCTTGTGACTTTTTGCTTTCTCTATATTAGGGGATTATTGGTGCATTAACAGTACTAGGACACATCAGATCTGTAATGCTTCACAATAAAATTGCACAATTTATTTTTTTTTCTTCTCATTAAAAATAAATAAATGAAACGCACCAAATACTCACTGAAATATACTGGAGATCCTCTTTGGACATCCATAACAGGATGATTTAAATGTGCGTGAGGCTTACTGTTTCTTTGCAATGAAGGCACAGGATGACCAGCCTGTCTGAATTGGCAGTATGCCAGCTGAAATGAGCAGTGGCCATGTCACATCCCAAATCAGTTGTAAATTAGGGAGATCTAGATTGTAAACTTGTTTGAGCAGTGTCCTCATTAACTTATTGTTCCTGTAACATTTTTGTATTAGTCTCATTTATTGTTAAATTTTCCACTTTATAATATTGTAAAGCTCTGCGGAATAAGTTGGTGCCATAATTTTTTTTTTATTTAATTTTTTTTGGACATTCTTTATTTTTATTTTTTAAAATTCTTTTTCATTCGATAAGTACAGCAAGTACAGTTCAACTTTTGGGCTTGCGCAGAAGTCAATATTTGAGAAAACATTCTTGGAAATACAATATGTAATATGAGCTTACAATACAAGGCTCTTTTTAATCCCATTGTGCCTTGCCTCCTACCGAGGATTTTATTTTTAATCCAGGCAATTGGCAATTTAGTTAAAGAAGGAGCCCTAGCTTTTCACAGGCCAGGTTTGTCTTTAGGCATCCTCGTTTCTCCGACTGTGTAATCATGCCTGGGTGAGAAAAACGGAAAAAGAAAAAACACAACCCCTGTAAACCAAGGGGGAAAAAAAAAAAAAAAGGGGGTACGAGGATATATGAGAAGAGAAAAGGAGAAATGGCAAAGAAATAGAGAAGAAAGAGAGGGGAAGTGAGATAAAAGATGAGGGGGGCAGGGAAGGAATGGGGCCTTCAGAATCTAGTTCGCCATGAAGGTTCTTTGTTGCTAGTCTCCAACTTTATCACTTTCCGATCCCTGTTAGTCTCAACTTGAGCCCACTATACTATTGTCCCAAATTTTCTGGAAAGTTACTGTCGTCCCCTTTATCCTTGCCGTCAGGTCGTCCATGTTTCTGCATTCTCTTATCCTGGATATCATGCCTCGAAATTCCGGACCCCCAATTGAAAGCCATGCCGTTGCTATTGCTCTGCGGACATTCTTTATTTTTAACGTGCGTGGTAAAACTGACAAATATGCTCAGACATTTTAGCAAGAGAATTGCATCAATAAACAGGTTACGAATACATTTAAAAATGTCGATGAGACTGCACTTTTTATAGTATAGGGTGCATGAGGTACGTAGCTAGATATGCAGAAGTATAGAGAATAAAACTGACAGTCAATCATACAAGAGTAGATCTCACTGGCAATAGAGGTCATCAATGGCCTGTTAACAGCACTAATTAAATAACAAATGTCAAAAAGAGAAAGCTTAATCACCAAAAATAAACTTTATGCAGAGTCTCTAAAGCCTATCCAATTCCCCTTAGGGCAACACTCGAGAACCCCAGTGGTCACTCGCTGGATGGAGTCTGCCGCCTCGCTCTCACAATGTCCGTCTCCTGCAAATTCAGGCAAGTGCCAACCTGCCTCCAGGCCCTACTACAGGCAATGGCACTCTGTTCTCCCGTCCCAGCGCACCAGGCGTTCCAAATCTCCTCAGGTAGTGTGGTATGTCGATCGGTTCGGCCTTTGAGCTGCTGCTTCAAGGTCTTCCAAGTGTGGGACTGTGCAGGAGTCTAGAGACCCGACGTGCCTGCAACCTGAAGAAAGTCTCCCTCACCCATCCAGCGCCATCGTGTGGGCAGGTTGCTGTTAATGGAGGCCTCAGGACTCTCCGGGCACTTGGGAGTTGGGCCGCCAAGGGGTAAGGTCGAGACACATTAGATGCGGAGTGGGTAGAACGTCTTAGCCAAAAGGATCTGCGCCAACGGTCAAATGTCTGTAAGATGTCCTAATTGGCAACCTTAGTGTAGCGTTCGGGTAAGTGCTGTCATTTTTTATAGTTATAACTTCAGGAGTCAGCTATGTGAGAAGATGGATTGGTCAGTGTAAGCCGGGATAACCCCCCACTGGCCCAAAGGGGGAGCCCAGACGATAGTGGGACACCTCCGAACAAGGGACCAGCCGCTTCCCCTGTCCTGAGCCGCCCAGCAGGCCGCAGATGAATCTGCCGCTGGGATATCTGGAAAATCTATCTCAAATTCAACCCTGAGTGTGGCAGAATGATCCTCAGTCGAGTCAGTGTTAGCATTGTTGAAGAAAAATCAACCAAAAGGTGACTTTTATGAAGTATATTGTGAGGAGCACTGCCACCATGCAACTTTCTCTCTTGGCAGTCAGGCCCCCCGGCACTATTATTGGCATTTATACAGAGCTAACTTATTCCATAGGGCTTGACTATATTATAATGTTATATATTGCTGAGCATAAACTGTTTTCTTCAGTAAGCCATTAATTTTTTTGCTATTGTCCAGGAAATTTGAAATTCTAGGCCAAATAGGGGGATATAAAATCTCAAAATTAGAGCATTTTCTAACTATGCTAACCTTATTGACGTAAATTTTTATATTCACTGGACTGTTCCAGACAATTCAGTTTAGCGCAAAGTCCTTAAATGGTCTATGGTATGTGCTTATATCACAGAATAGATTGCCAGTTTTGGCTGACATTGGTGATTAGTGTAAGAGTACCGTCTACTTTCTGCAAATGTATACTTTTTTGTTTGTTTTTGGTGACCACAATTAGACAATCTGAAAATACCAATTTTTACAAATGTTGTTCCTTTTATGTGTCCAGTGATCTTTTTTTATTAAATCATGACATATGTGCCATGCAACTTCCAGAAGTTTATTCACATTCTATGTGTTGTATTATTAAAAGAAAAATATAAACTGAAGAGTATTTATTATATTGTAGGATTTGGCTGTTCTGGCCCAGGCAGAGCCCACCATGCATTTGATTTTGACCCCCTATTAGCCTTGTGGAAATATATAGAATATTACATGTGCTTTTTGCCATTTCTCAAATGCCCGCGCATGCAAGCGAGCACTTGAAGCATCACGGGGGGAGATGACCTTGCCCTGGGCACATGTTCTGAGGCAGAAAGTGTTTTATATACCCAGTTAACATAACACTGTGAAATACTTCCGCTTTCTGAAGTGCACTAAGGGTTATTCTCAGTGTGTCCACTTTGCACACTTAATAAAAGTGCTGATTTTAAGAGAAATCACCACATTTATAAATGACCTAGGTGACATGGCAGAGTGTATTTCTTTACTCAATTTTGTGCACTGGCTTGAACAGAACTACAACGAAGCATTCTATAATTGCAGTGAGATGATTGCTGTGGGGTCTTAGGACCCCAGAGGTTCTCTGTGAGAAACATTGGATTGGTCCGAGTTGCACACCAGTGGGGTTCTCCTGGGTGCAGAATTGAGCTGAAGCCAGGAGATCATCTCACCGCTAGATTAGATGTAACCACATTATTTAAAGGGAAGAGGGAGGCCCCGGTATCTAACTGTTAAAACTGGTAGTTCCACTTTAATTCCCTCACTAACCTACTTGGAGAGTGGAAGTTTATTTAGCGTGTAACTATTACATATACCATTTAAATGCTATTAACGTCAAGCAACAGAGAATGCATTGTTGTTTTATTTGTATTGGCAACCGCCAATAGTATATTTTATTTTTTTCTTTCTTTGTAGTATAGTAACCTCTGACTTTGATAATGACATGTTCTGTAATATTTAAAAGGTCACTTATTGGGAATTTGAGAATATTCCCCCAGGAAGAGACTTGGCATGTTGAACTTCCCTAAACTGCTACAAAACATATATTTCTTGTGAAGAGGAGAGTTCAATGAGGCAGAATTAAAGAGGTAGTCTAAGCACTCTGCCACGCACTTTTAGTGGTTATGGTGCTAGTTGTCTGTTGTACCACAAATGGGAGTCTCTAGCACTCTATTACTAATGCAGAAGTACTCATTGTTTGTTTTTCAGATATACCTGAGCATTACCAGGGTACTTGGAACATATATTTTCCTTCTGGGCAATGCTATACTTTATTTTCTTCATACAACCAAGTAACTCTTCTCGCTCTTTCACTGACTTGTGACCTGATTTCCATCCGTTAATTAATTATACATTGTTTAACCTGTTTTCAGAGGCGTCGATTAGATTTCAGTTGGTTTGATACTTGAGGAGTGGAGAACCTAGGTTAGGGGGTGGCTTTTAATCTAAAGTACACATGTTTTAAAGAGAAACTCATGCCTGGTTCAAACTTTTTTTAAATTTTTTTTATGTTTTGACTTCTACAGTTTTGTCATATCACCTAAAATTATATTCATCAGCTCGTATCTTAAATAAGGGAGTGCTTTGCCTTGTGTATAGCTATTGAGAAGGCAAAACCAACACAATTTCATTTTCAGTGCCATTCATAAAATCAACTGAAATATTAGTTGGTAGACATAGTGGTAAGGTGGCTAGATCCTGTGTTTTCTTGCACTTATTGATAGAAGGCACATGAAAAGTGCTGTCCTGCTATTTGAAGAATTTGTATGCCGGGAGAATTCTCCCTGATAATTGACTTGATTTCCTTCTTGCGGCATATCATTTCTACATGCAAAGTGTAGAACTTTCCATGTGCTCCGCATCAGTATGTAAAAGTGATATGTGTTCAGGAAACCATGGTAATACTGAAAGTTCTCCAAACTAGCTGTGCTTTGACTGTTGGGTTACTATTTGTTTCATATTCTGCTGGTCACAATTCTGCTCTTTAAACTTTGATTTTGGAGCCATCAACATGAGTAACATTTTATTTTTCCTTACAGACCAGCCTCAATGGTTCAGTCGGAACCGAAGCTGCCGTAGCGCCCGATCAGCAGAACCAACAGCAGCCACAGCAACCCCCTCCCCCTAACGCGTGGCAGGTGATTAAAGGGGTGGCATTCAGGTGAGTAAGAGAGATTTAATTCTACACTTTTTGTTAGGATGGTGTCTTTCCATAAGCCAGTTCAAAACAATATTGCAAGCAGAGTAACAGTCTTTCCAACTTCGTGAGCTATATTGTAGATTTAGCTGCAATTAACACTAGAGGATCTGTGACTAGATCACAATATTTAGGTAATTACCTGCTGGTTTGTAACACCTTCTTACAATTCTAAAGCTCTGTGGAATGTGTTACCTATTAACGATAATATTCATGTCATCGTGGGACCACTCCAGCTACAAGGATCTTAACCTCTGGTTCATTGCATTTACTGCACCTGTGCCTGTGGCTGCCCAAAAAAAAAGACACGAGGTCTGACAAATTCCTAACGGATGGAATTGGAAAAGGTGAACACGCCATGTGGATGGGGTCCTTTTCCAAATGACTGTAGTAATAAAAAATAAAAATATTATTTTGATGAAAACATGCTATATCCAATCACCAAGCATCCAACCCTATCCAGCAGAGTAATTTATTCATGGGTAACTTGTCATGTCAAGATCTTTGTTAAAGGTTTGTGTTTATTGACTTTCAAGTGGGTTATAAATGTGTTTATAAATATATGTAATGTGTAATTACGGAGAGAAAAGATAGAAATGTAAAAAAGTAGGTTGTTTAGGAAAAATGTATTTAAAAAACGTATATGTGTGTAAGGACAGGATTATCCTGAATTAGCAGTTTTTTAGGGAGCATTATCATAGTTGGATGTTAAATGAGGTAAACCTCTGCCCCAACAAATTTGGGCTAACTTGGTTTGCCTCTTTAAATAAAATGTTTTAATGACATTATTCTTTTTCATTATCTTTGCATGGGATTTTCCCCACAGAATCCCATGTTAAAGTGTCTTCATTCTTTATGGAGGCCTCTGTAATACTTTGTACTAATCGGTCTGTTGTTTTTAAGAGAGTTTGCATTTGCATCTCTGTGGCGGCCCGTGATTTGAAATACTGGATCCTCTTAGGATGTGTTGGTTTGGTGTTTTGTGCTTTATTTTATTTATTTTCTTCATGTGTGTGAAATTTGCAGGTAGCAATTACAGAGTGGAGAGACTGTGCATAATTAGTGTAGGAAAATAGCAGTGGTGCACTGTATTAATTAGGATGCCAGATACAAACAAAAAGATCGAGTTCAAAACAAGAGTAAAAATGAAATAAACCATAGCTTGTAGTTTGTACTTTAAATTTTTTTTATTTTTTTTTAAATTGTAGTATGGTTTACCACCGCAATGTAGTATTTAGAGGGCAGAATAGAGAAAGGGGAAATAATATACTAATCATGATTTATTATATTTTTATTTTATTTGTTTTACTCCAATTTGGCTGCTTCTTGTCACATATTAGCGGTTTGTTTCTAAAATGTGTCTGATTTACCCATCCTGCAGTTACTTTTACTTCAGTTTTGCTTACTATGCTAGTTTCTCTCCCCTTTGTAGAATTTTCATAATATGGGCCATCAGCAGCTGGTTTCGAAGAGGATCTGTTTCACAAGACCAAACTCCTGGAACAACTGGAACACCACGACCTCCAAGTCGCAACCTTTTCCCCCGGGATACTCTCATGGTATGTCTGTATTGGTCATAGTTATGGGGTGGGCAGAAGGGCATGCCGTTTACTAGGATTGGGGACATTGCTGTAGTGTCACTACAATGAACCACCCTCTTTAACTTTCAGGACCTTCATGTGTTCCTCTCGGAGAGTGAGGTCTTCACAGAATTTAACTCCACGACGGCTCTTATTTGGGAGCAGAGGGATTTGGTGTATGGAGACTGGAGCAGCGGGGAGAATGGAGATGGCTGTTACGAGCAAAACTCTGAGGTTGTCATTCCAGAGGTAAATCCTTTCCCACCAGAGGGGTTTCTAATCTACAGATAATGACATACCTGCCATTATCCAACCACATCATTTTATTTCTTTTTATATTCTCATTAGTTTATGTTGGTTCTTTATTTACCTTCCTTATTTAGCTGTATCAAATTCTTACTTGTAAACCAATCTTGTGGTCACGAGTTTAGAAATCCTAAAGCATGTTCTTTATTAGAAGGTTGGCAAAGTCCTTGTATAGTGAATTTTAACCCATTGCAGCAGTGGGGACAGTAGTGGTGTATTTAGGATTTTTGGGCGCACCCCCCCACCCCACCCCACCCTTTAATTTAAGTTTTCCCCACCCCTTCCAGTAGTGGCCACACTTTGTATGCATCTATCAGTGAGTGTGTGATGCGTACTCACTGGCAGGCGCGCGCGCTCTCTCACTGGCAGGCGCGCGCGCTCTCTCACTGGCAGGCGCGCGCGCTCTCTCACTGGCAGGCGCGCGCGCTCTCTCACTGGCAGGCGCGCGCGCTCTCTCACTGGCAGGCGCGCGCTCTCTCTCACTGGCAGGCGCGCGCGCTCTCTCACTGGCAGGCGCGCGCGCTCTCTCACTGGCAGGCGCACGCACTGACTGACGCGCGCTCACTTTCATTCGTTCAAGCGCGCTCGCTCTCATTCGCGCGCTCTCATTCATTCACGCACTCGCACACTGCTCTCATTCACTCACTCACGCACGCACGCACACTGCTCTCATTCACTCACGCACGCACGCACACGCTCTCATTCACGCACACACGCTCATTCACACACGCACGCACACGCTCTCATTCACTCACCGCACGCACACGCTCTCATTCACTCACCGACACACGCACACGCTCTCATTCACTCACCGACACACGCACACGCTCTCATTCACTCACCGACACACGCACACGCTCTCATTCACTCACCGACACACAAATGTAAAAAAAAAAAAAAATTTTTTTTTTGGTTAAATCCACCCAGGGAGAGCTGGAGTGAATAACTTACCTGTCCATTAGGGCTGCTGGGTGGGCAGGCAGAGTAGGCGGCGAGGGAGCTCTGATTTTCCTGCTCAGTTCGCACGCCGCTTAGTGATGCCGGGAGCCGGTTTACATCCTATTCCGGCTCCAGGCTTCATTAATCGGTGCAGAGGGAGCTGAGCAGGAAGAGCTCAGGTGAGTATGCCCCCTCGCTGCCCACTGCCAGCCTCGGGGGGGAGGGGGGAAACAAGGAAAGCAAGGGATCTGCCTGGGCGTTTTGCTGCCCCCTGCAAAGACTCCTTGTTTGCCTTGTGTAAGATACGTCCCTGGGGGACAGTTCACTCCCATAGAGCCTTTCCCAAATATGGTCTTTAGTTTCCATGTCCACATTGTCTTCTTGGGATAGTTTTGTTTTTCAGAGATTCTCCTCATCTTTGCTTCTCCAATGCAGAAAATCACCCTGGTGTTAAAAAAAAAAACAAAACAAAAAAAGTCCCTACCAGTACTCATGAAAATTAAAGCGGCACTGTCATGCCGAACTTACCTTTCATTAATCGCTTTCTCTTCCTCTCTCAGGATCTGTTCTTTATAAAAAAAAAATGTTTATCTGCTCTAGTTTTACATAGTGTCCCGCCCCCACCCATGCTCAGCAAGTGGGGGCTATTCAACTAAACAGGGGACATCACCTTTTTTGCGTGCGCTGATTGGTTGGTTAGTTTAAGTCAACTAATAATAGTGCTCTGATAGGTAAATAGTGAGCCTATCAGAGCATTTGGGGGGGGGAGGGGAGGGGTGGATTTACATTTAGCCCTCACCCGTTGCGAGTAGGGGCGTTTGGGAGATTACCTTTATGCTAATATGGGGGTCATATTGAGGGTAACGCTATGTCCAAAACCGGTATAAGTGTGTGCCTGGCCTAATAATGTCTTTACAGTGTGCACAGCTTAATGAATAGTGAGTTGTTTTATCCCTAATGCATAATCCACTCCTAAGTGCACACTATGCAATGTCTGTGGCACAATCTTCAGCTTCTGTATAGGACTGCCAGTGAAAGGAAGTATTGGGGAGAGAAAATTCAGTATCAGATTTGAATTGATTTACTGGATGTTTTCATTTTTAATGTTTAAATTTATAAGCCAGTTATCTTCTTAGAAACCATGTATCTAGACTTAGAAGATTATAGCCAGCGGATCATAGTGAAATTGGAAACAGGGGTGTTGGTTTGAATGTGTTGTTTTATCTGATGCAGGGCGTCCAGAATAATGGTTCCTTCTACATCCATGTGTATTTAACGAAGAGTGGCTTTCACCCAGACCCAAGTCAGAAGGCTCACCACAGGAGACTGGCCACTGTGCATACGTCTCGCAGTAAGGATGTTTTACTATCTTCCCTCCTCCCCCCGCTCTTTATTTTGCGCATCCCTGCCAATCTCCTCTTTCCCAATTCTTTCATTTTATTCTCCTCAGTCATGTACTTTTTCCTCTTGCAGTGCTAAACAAATTTAAACGTCGCCGATTTCTCAAGACCAAAAACCTTCTGACAGGAGAGACTGAGGCCGATCCAGAAATGATTAAGGTGAGATTTTTGACATGTTTTCCATGAACTCATACTCCTCATCTTGCTTTGTGTTCTCCTGTAATAACAAAGTTTAACTTTCCCACTGCTTGTGTGTCTCCTTTCAGAGAGCGGAGGACTACGGTCCTATCGAGATCATCTCACATTGGCATCCAAATTTAACAATAAACATAGTTGATGACCACACTCCGTGGGTCCAGGGCAGTGTACCTCCACCTCTGGACCAATGTAAGTTTCCATGTTATACTTTTCCAAATCTTTTATATCATCTGATTTAATCATTATATTGTTAGTGGATTCTGTTTGACCAATCCGGGAGGAAATTATCATATCATAGCTGGTATCAAAACTGGGCAACTTTAAGCCCTTTAAGTAATAATCTAAGTGATTCTTACAGGTAAAAGCTGAGCTTGGTATCACTCACCTTATAGTCTTCTAAATCACCTGATTTGATCTTATCTCATTCAGGGAACATTATCACAACAATGTAATGTTGTATGTTTGGCCTTAACCTGCTTTTGTCTTATGTCCTCCACAGATGTGAAATTTGATGCGGTTAGTGGTGATTATTATCCGATATTGTATTTTAATGATTATTGGAATCTACAGAAGGATTATATGCCTGTAAATTCCAGCGTTACAACTTTGCCCCTGCGGTTATCATTCTGTCCACTATCCTTATGGCGATGGCAGCTGTATGCTGCGCAGAGTTCCCGCAGCCCTTGGAATTTTCTGGGGGAGGACCTCTATGAGCAGTCCGATGAGGAGCAGGACTCCGTAAAGGTGAGAATAAATTGCAACGGGTTTGTAAAATGTGGGAGAATTTTTTTAAAGACAATTGAGAGGGTTGAAATATTGCCACATGTCCTCTACCTGTTTGTCTTTTCTGGGTTAAATGAAAGAGAAATATCTTAAAAACAAAAAACTAATTCTACAGAGTGAGTCAAGTGACCAGCAAGCAGCCACACACAAAAAAAAAACACTTTAAAAAACAGATAAAGGGAACGTTTTTTTTTTCTTTTTTCAAAGATATATAAAATGATACAGGAACGCCTGGGATGATCTCTGCATGGCTTGGGTGAATTCAAGTGTGAGCCCAAGATATAGATAAAAATGATACATCTTTTCAAGAAGTGTGAAGGGAGGCTCTGTGACTGACAGCCAGGGAGGGCATGGCTGGGTCTGCAGAAAGTCTTTTATTTCCTAAATAACAGAAGATTGAGTATTGAGACTGCCGGGGCATGATCTATACACCAAAACCAGTTCATTAACCTGGAGTGGTTTCAAAGCTTTGGACAACCGTTTTAAGATTCATGATGATGGCATAGGGTAATCTGTGCTCCACATAAAATACTGGTAATGTTGAGATTAACGTCAGGCTGCTGTAGGTATCTAAGTGGTTCTTTTGACTAATTTTGTGTATAGCAAGGAAGCTGCAGATATGGCTGCTACTTTTTTTTTTTTTTTTTCTCTTTCTTTTTTTCTTCCAATTTTCAAATATTTAAGAAAAATGCTTAGAAATTTAGAAAGCTGTGTGTTAAGTAATTCTTTAGGGAAAACTGTAATCCTAACTCACGCTATGGGGCAGGCAATTTAAACTGTGCTCAAATCCTGGTACATTCTGCCAAGCGTAACCTGTTGGTTAAAAGCGTTGTAGCTCAAAAACATCGGAGAGGGCAGGACTTGACATTCCCGTTATAGAACTTCAAATGCCATGGAAGCACGACTATATCACTGAGAAGACACATTCTAGTCTCTTCTGTTAACAAATATATGCTTGAGATGCCTGGAAAAATGAAAGGTAGAAATGCACATGTCTATATTTAACTCGTTCGTGTTTTACCATCTTATCCTATTTAAAAACACTTAGCATAGAAAGAGTAGGAGAAACAAAAAAATGTTTTCTGTTTCTCCTCCTTCAATGCAATGTGTTCCCTGGTTGTGTCAGGACTAAACTGGATTGTCAGGTTAATCTTTAATATTCATTTCAAAGAAAGAGTAGCACCAAAGAGGTTTAAAAAAAAAAAAAAAAAGTTAATGGAACACCATAGGGTTAGGAAAACAAACTTATATTCCCTTCCCACTATAGTGTTCGCCTCACCATTTAGCTTCTTCCCTCTTTAAATCTAATTTTCAAAGAGGGTATTACTTAACTTTTTTCCAGCATTAAGAAGAGTTTACTGGAGCTGCCCAATCAGCCTCCCACAACATCACGCTGACTCTTCGACTTCTCGTCCAATTCAGTGCTCCTCGGTGGGGACGAGAAGCGTGTGCACGGCCATCTTTGTGCTCCTCCAATATTCCAATCACGTGCTCCCTATGAGAAGCATTTGAGGAAGTTAATGTTGGGAGCCAAGTCTGACTCTCAAGAAGATACCGATTAGAGGTGTTTTTAGCCCTGCAATGGAAACCTTGCTGTATCTTCTAAATGGCAGTGTTTTACATTGCAGGACTAAAATGACAAAGGCACTGCACCCACACCACTTCATTGGGTGCTTAGATTATCCCGTTAATACAAATTTATAGGGAGTTTTCAGTTTTTTAATCAGTTTACATGATGTACTTTTCAGAGATGTAACTATTCTCATGTCATTTTATTTTAAGATGGGTATATTCATAATTTAGGATTAAGTTCTCTCCTGTGTAATTTAGACTAAAATACAAAATTACATCCACTTTGATCATCATGTCCCATACTGCTCCTTACAACCACATAACCTTTTATTTTATTTTGTTCTTTCTAACATTTTCAGGTGGCACTTTTGGAGACCAATCCCTATCTACTTGCACTGACCATCACAGTGTCCATTGTTCACAGCATTTTTGAGTTCCTTGCCTTCAAGAATGGTAAGGTAGTGAGGAATGAAACACACATTTAGTGAGTGCTGTGTGATAATTTAATTGGAAAAACATTGAAGGGTCATGTTATCATATGTAGGAAGACATGGGTGTGGTTGTGTACAGATTATATTTCTATCTGAAGATACAGTCCTTATATAACTGCCTTTTCATTTATTCGCTGGTTCGATTTTTGGCTTGCAGACATCCAGTTTTGGAACAGTCGTCAGTCACTGGAAGGCCTGTCTGTGCGGTCAGTCATTTTTGGCGTATTCCAGTCTTTAGTGGTCTTGCTGTACATATTGGATAATGAGACCAACTTTGTGGTGCAAGTTAGCGTGGGCATCGGTCTGCTCATAGACTTCTGGAAGATAACAAAGGTCATGGATGTCAAGGTGAGTTTCATCCAATAAATGTGTCCTTCCCAAACACTCGTTAAAGTGATGGTAAACTTTGTCTTGTTTTTGTTTTATTTTTCCATTTCACTGAAATTATTCATGACGATGAGTTGTTGAGTGCTGGTTCTCCTTACTTTCTCACAGATAAGCAATTGATGTCCATATCTACCAGAGACCTCCAGAAATATAAACTAACACTTGTCTAGCATTCTTAAAATTACTTCTTACTCTTCCACAGCTGGACAGAGAGAACAAAGTGGCAGGAATCTTTCCTAGATTAACGATGAAGGACAAGTCCACATATGTAGCGTCATCCACGAAGATCTATGATGATGTAAGTATTCTCCTCCTTCTATTCATTTCAAGCTAGAGCCTTTAGAAAACGAATACATACTATTGTTCAGCTTGGTCTGTATCTAGGTAGAACATCTTGAAAGCAATCAAACTAAAGTTAATGAAAATTAGAAACCTGAACAAAATATTTTTTTAAAGTCTCCATTTACAGCTTGTATTTTACAAATCCATGGCTCCTTGTCTCCTGGAAAGAAGTTTAAGTTCCTGCAATGAGGAATTCTAATAATAATGAAAAGACCTATATTCCCCACTTTAATTATCCGAAAGGATGCATCTCCACCATCCATAACACATGTTAATAAGAAACGTAGATGTTTTGCATCACATCTCCTATGCATTGAGTTAGAGGTGGTCAGGGTTATTCTGTAATGGCTGAATTGTCTGAAATTCAGGCCCCAATGGTCGAACTGGAAAAGTTCAGCTATTTGGTCCTAATATTTGGTATGCATCTAAAATGTATTTGATGTGTAACTAAAAATGAATCAATGTTGATCTTTTTATAGTTTTTTTTTTTTTTTTTTCAAACTTTAATGACGATTTACTTATGGAATTGAAGTTGTGGCCTATAACACACTAAAGAAATTGCAGCTCCTTATTTTAAGACTTTTGTTTGTGTCAATCTACTTTATATAACTAAACCCTGTCACATCTACTCAGATGGCATTCCGATACCTGTCATGGCTGCTGTATCCTCTTCTGGGATGTTATTCGGTGTACAGCTTGCTGTATATGGAGCACAAGGGCTGGTACTCGTTTGTACTGAGCATGTTGTACGGATTCCTTCTCACATTTGGTAAGTTTGAAAAGGTGTGCCGTTTTATGCCCTTCTCATTTGTTATTTTCTGTGAAGTTTAGCAAAGTAATTCAAACATTGTCTCTCGTTGCTCATCTACGTGGATTGTTTTCCTTATTTATTCTTTAGGATTTAAATGCTAGAGAATTAAACCTAGCTGTTATAAGAAACTGGGATTAACTCCATTTACAACCTGAATGACATATTGAGAGCTGGGTTAAATGGTTCATTCTATTTAACTATATACACTTGCTGCTGCTCTAAAACTCTCTGTACATTTATTGGAAAAATCGTTTTAAAGGGATACTCTAAGAGCCAAAACAACTTTAACTTAATGTAGCAATGTTGCCGTATAGATTATGTCCCTGCAGAATTTATGATTTATTCTCTTTTGTTTTAAATGTTTAATCACTGTGATTGCAGCCCTAGCCACACGCCCACTAGCTATCTCACTAATGTATTGGGTTCTCTGACAAATATCTCTTGTTTTTTTTTTGTTTTGTTTTTTTCTCTTAAGTTTATCATGTGTTCTCCAACTGTTTCACAGAAATCATGATAAACCAAGATCAATATAGCTCTAACTAGCTCATTTTGAACATCCCTGTGCTTATGGAACTCACAACAGAATGGCTAAAGATTCTGTTTTGTGCCAAGAAGAAAACTGTTTAGGAGCATTATCTAAGATAATATATCATTTGTTTGTCCGTTCTTCTGTCTGATGCACTGTTGACACCAGATACCGTGGGTTAAGTAAATGAGCTTATTAAAATGTTTGTCTTCTCGCCCATAGGTTTTATCACAATGACTCCACAGCTATTCATTAACTACAAGCTGAAGTCAGTCGCCCACCTCCCATGGAGGATGTTGACTTACAAAGCACTGAATACCTTCATTGATGATCTCTTTGCTTTTGTCATCAAGATGCCCATGATGTATAGAATTGGGTGCCTCCGAGATGGTGAGTCCTTTACGTTTCTTACAGATATTGTGCAGAATTTGTTTTGGAGCTTTTAATTTGGCTGAGAGTTTGGAACTGAATTGATAAACAACTCAGAGCCTTAGAATAGCATCCGGTTATATTCTTTGTAAATCAACCGACTTGATTATGTATTGGTAGACTTTGGGAACGTGAGTCTCTGATCTTCCCATCCAGGAATTTCTCAATTAAACTTGAGGCTTAATTTAAAAACCGTGAATTGTGGTTTGCTCTCCATTAATATGCAGGATTTAAGCAATGTTTGTGCAAATGACTCTGTTATATGAAATTTATTTTAAAATATCTTAAAACCTAACTAAAACAGAACAACCCCACCCCCTTTAAATGAAAATATTAAAATGGATTCTTCTGTGTTATGAACGATAAAGCCCCTTTTGTGGAGAGACATTTCTCACAGGTGCCACAACTACCTCCTCCTGTTGCCTAAAATTTTACTGATGGCACTCTTTTCTGGGTTTACCTTTGTGTTTACAGATTGAATAAAAAAAAAAAAAAATTTTTTTAAATATTTTTCTCTTTATCAGATGTGGTTTTCTTCATCTATCTGTATCAGCGTTGGATTTATAGAGTGGACCCAACAAGAGTAAATGAATTTGGGACAAGTGGAGAAACACCCGTTCCCCTGCCTGTCCAGGAAGGACTTGCGTCTCTTCCTCCTGTACCAGAAGACACTTCTCCACCTAAACCAGATGAAGATAAAAAGAAGGACTGATTAATTTCTCCTTTCCCTATTCCCGTACCCTTTATGAACTGTACTGCCCCCTTTGGGGGGGGGGGTAAATCGGCTGCTGTTTTATATATAAACCCCTATTGTTCCCGAACCCCTTGTTAAGGCGGTGTTTCCCCGTCTATTAATATGTATATGGGACTGGTGAAGTATGTCTTTCTCTGCCCACCCCTTGCTTACTGTCTTCTAACGGTTCTCTCCCTTCCTCCTTCTGTCTTCCAACCTCTTTCTAGTTTCCCCTCCTTCTATCCAATTTCTTCTTGATCTTACTCCCTCTTCGTGTCTTTCTCAATGATTCTGTTGTGCCGTGTCTCTCCCGTAATTATGACTCTTCAGTTGGGTCAACAATGCGAAAACTGGGTTTAATAAATATGGCCGCTCTTTAACTTTCCACTGTTTTAGGCAATGGTCTAGTGATAAGATTTACTTGTGTCTCTCCCACTAAATCCTACGACTGTTCACTTTGGCTTCACTCCTTAAGTACTTGAATGTCCATCTTTCTCCAGTTTTTAAATGGTTTCTACGTTCACTCTTGAGTTTTACCAAGAATTGATGCCCTGCTTCCAGTAATGTAGTTGGACCAGTTTATTCCTCAAGTTTTGACTTGGTCTTTCTGTGACAGGAGTCCTATTTCTCTGTACATGGCACTAGAGGTAACGCCTCATTTCATAAAGTCAAGAAATATAAATAAGTAGATCATACATCAATGCATAAAATTAATGTGAGGCCGATGCTTATACTAGATGATATCACTGAAGTGAACCTGTCACATAGATATCTGAATGACCAGGTCCAGAATAAGGTCAGGTAAGTAATGCAACTCAGTTTGTACTGTGTATTTGTTAAATGGCCAGTAAATACTTAAATGGTGTGGGATGTTTTTTCATCTGTGTGCTCCTACAAGACTCCATTACGAAGTGTATCCTTAAATCATTTATGATTCCTTGTGTGTGGTGCATGTGACTATTTAGCGCTAGGCCATTGAGTTTGACTTCTTAAAAGTTAAGCCTTTGTAGTGATTTTATTATATTTTGTTACAAAACAGTCAATTAGAAATGTTGTGATTGGCACACCATTGTATGAAATTTACCCAGTTATGTTCTCATGTGATTTTTATAAGGCATTACTCAGTTTTTGTAGAATAATACTGAGTTCCTAAGTGCCACTATATGGGTGATACAATGTGTTCCTAAAACCCTAACTGTTAGTAGTTAATAAAATAGAAAGCTGTGATTGTATGTTTAATAATTAAAAGGGGGATGGAGGAGGGGTAGTCAAACGCTAGTAGGTTATAAATATCTGACTGTAAGCATGTCTGTGTGAGGGTGATATGGGGCAGTGGGGGACACCTGTAACCTTAAGATTGGGTTTAAATTAAGTAAAATGTATCCCAATCAAATATGCTACTTAAAAGGACAAGTAACACACCATAACTGCTTCTATACATTAAAGTGGTTATGGTGCCTGGTCCCCCATTACTGCTGATAGGTTTACTCACCATTTAGTAGAAATTCTGGCCTACAATGACAATATGGGGGAGGCAGAGCTATCTATATTTTTTTTTTTTTGCCGTGTGTTTTAACATTTATATATTTATTTTTTTTACAGGGATTAATGCCGTGATTGGCTGAGAGGGCTTAGCTGATGCTCTCAGGGAATCACTGAGTTATGTGGCCATATTGTCATTGAAGCCTGGGCTTCAGACTCCTGTGGACTGATAATCTCTACTAAATGGCGAGTAAGCCTATTCATAGTGAACATGTGTCCATGGACTCCAGGGCCCGTAACCAATTCAATCCATGAAAGTTGTTATGGGACCTAGTGTTTCTTTAATTGGAAAGCGATATCAGAACATGAAACAAAATGGCCTTTAACAATGTCAGATGAATCTGCACCATTTTTTTCTAAATTGTAAAGGAACGTAAGATACCTAAAAATATATATAATTTCCTTTGAACCCCATGGGAAATATGCTATTGTTGACACATATTGAAGTGCTGAAACACAATGGTAAAACAGATATTTTCTGATATTGACAGTTGCTCTTTCCCTCACCCCAGTAAGCACGATTGCAGCAAGTACTGGTGAGTACATCACATGTTTTGTCTGTGCATGTGTGCTATGGGCTCTGCAATACATTAGTTTGACTTTAAAGTTGATAAAGGTTAAATTATTTGTGGGGCACACTTACAAGTCACAAGGGGAAAAAATAATAATAATAAAAAAATATAAATATATATATATATAATTTTTTTTTATTTTATTTTTTTTCAATCATTGTATTGTAGAGAGAGGCTGAAATTGGCAAAGTGTTACTACAGCCAAAGTGTAAAATATTTCCAAATCCTAAATTTTTGCCTAAATTTTCCAGTTCTGATTTCAATTTGGTACAGTACCAAGTATAGATAATTGTTTTTCTTTCCATTTACTGTATTTCCCACTAAACTTACAAAATGTACATAAAAGAAGAGCAGAGAGAACAAAATGCATAGTAGTAATTGAGTATCATACAGATTTTGTAAAAAGAAATAAATGTGTATTGTCCATATTTAAAGCGATCATCAATTTGATAAATAGGCAATGATCTATGTAATCTGTACTTGGAGAATTTTAAACCTGACGGCAACACTCCACAAATGTAGCTACCCTTGAGGATTTTGGGGGGGAGGGGGGGGAATCTGAGTGCTAAATTTCTTGTTTATAATCTGTTTGACAATGTGTTGCCGTGTCGTGATGGCAGCTCAACAGTTACATTCAGTTAAACAACTTGTCTTTACTCAAAGATCAGCTGCTTGGCATATTGTTACAGCTTCCAGAAGGGGAAATCCTTTGTTTCCTTGTATTTGTGCAACTTTATTTCACACTCTGAGTACCAAAACCACTGTATCTCCGTTTGCCAGGCATCAAGGAACCTTCCTCGTGAAGTCTCTTGAAAATAGCTTGTTCGGTTTGGCGTCATCACATCCAGCATGTTGAAGCCAATCACAATTAGTGTTTCTCTATGAGAAGCATCCAATTGGTAGAACGAACTGATTCCCTTGCCTGCACCATAGGACCTTAATAATTCTCTATAAAAAGTATTCAGTGTGAATGAGATCTCCAGCTTTATTGACCTAAGAAGAGGTGGTTCCAGCTGGTACGAGGAAACAGTTCAAACGCTGGATCACAAGAAAGCTTAATTTAGATACTCCCCTGACAAAATGTAAAAAAATTACAATATACTTTTCACACACAAAACATTTACATTGTATTTTAAGAGGAGGGCCTAGCAACCTTAACTCCCTAAGGACATGTGACATGTCATGATTCCCTTTTATTCCAGAAGTTTGGTCCTTAAAGTTTACGTGTTCTTTTGATGTAAGTTAAACATTTTATATTTAAGATCTGGTTAACCCCTAACTAATTTGTTACAAATTCTTTGAGAAATCTGCACTTTTATCATTACCATTAGAAACGCCTGATTAACAGCCAGGAGGTTTTCTTCCTTTCTACTTGAGCATGCCTAGCTTCTCTCCCATTACTCCTCAACAGCTTCTTAGCAGCGTTCTTCCTGACCACAGGTGCAGCGCACATATGCACACATTCCGAGGCTTCTGAAGGAGAAGCCTCTGGTGTTTTCCCTGGCAACAGAGTGAAAGTCTCATCTGGGGAACAAAAGGCTGATGTCAAAAGAACTGCATCTTTCGCAAGCTCTTTTTAGATAAACCCACAATGACTACATGCGTATATATCTTCTTATTAGTGATCTATTTATTTATTTTAGTTTAAAGGATCACTATAGGGTCAGGAACACAAACATGTATTCCTGACCCTATAGTGTTAACACCACCATATAGCCCCATTGGGCCCCTCATGCCTCCATAAATATAGCAAAATCTTACTGTATTCTAGCCTGAAGCTGTAGATCTGCATGCTGTTTGCCTCAGAAAAAAAAGCAGTCTGCTGACCTCATCAGAAGTGGTAGCCTGATTCAATCACAATGCTTCCCCATAGGATTGGCTGAGACTGACAGAGGCAGATCCAGCACAAGTCAAACACAGCCCTGCCCATTCGGCATCTCCTCATAGAGATGAATTGAATCAATGAATCTCTATGAGGAAAGTTCAGTGTCTGCATGCAGAGGGAGGAGACACTGAATGTTTGGATGCATTTTAGGCAGCCATGACCCAGGAAGGATCTCGAACAGCCATCTGAGGAGTGGCCAGTGACGTTATCACTAGGCTGTAATGTAAATGCTGCATTTTCTCTGACAGAGACAGAGCTTACAGCAAAATGCCCGAAGGTAATGATTCTACTCACCAGAACAAATTCAATAAACTGTAGTTGTTCTACTGACTATAGTGTCCCTTTAACTTCAAAGGGGCACCTCATCCTGTTTCAGTGGATTATTCAATTTATTTTATTGAAATTAACCTTTTTTTTTTAGAGAATTTTTCTGTACGTACAATAAGTGTTATGGCGCTTGGAGTGTTTCTTTTATCATTTGTAAGATACTCTGAGGATCATTGGTTCAAACTTTGCTTGATAGAATATTAATGTTTTGGATCAACCGCAGCAACACAGTTGTGTGAAAGCTTGAACTGTTCATCATGTAAACTGTGTTAACTGAATCAAATGACTTAAACTCTGCTAAATGCATAGGTGTATATGCATTGGGTGTACCCAGGCATTAATGCATTGTCAAAATTGTCTAATCGGCCCAATGTATGTCTCATTGGTCACTTTTTGCGTAAAGTTTACAAGATGTTTTCTTGGTGCACACCCTAATATTTAACCCCTTAAGGACGCATGACGGTTCAGGACCGTCCTCGGCATTTTTGCGTTGCCGACCGAGGACGGTCCTGAACCGTCCTAATGGAAAACAGGCGGCGGGAGCGATCAGAGATCGCTTCCGCTGAAATCCCGTTGTTACTATCTGCCCGGCATCCCAGGCAGATAGTAACAGCCAATTGCGGCATGTGAGCGATCCGCGATCGCTCACAATTGGCTGGTGTCAAAGTGGGTGTTACAAACACTCACTTTGACACTGATCTCTGCCTCTCTCCTCTCTGTAGCGTTTTGTGAGAGGAGAGAGACAGAGATCCTGATAGTTTGTTGCAGCAGCTGTTCCTGTGAAAAATAAAAAGTATCTTCAGTTAATTAAAATCCTATTTTAACCCCTTCCCTGCCAGATCTGTTACAGACAGTGCATTTTTACTGTCTGTATTTTTTTTTTTGCCCTTAAGGGTTAACTTTATTTTAAAAAATCTGTGTCTTAGACTGTCTTAGACTGTCTTAGACTGTCTTAGACTGTCTTAGACTGTCTTAGACTGTCTTAGACTGTCTTAGACTGTCTTAGACTGTCTTAGACTGTCTTAGACTGTCTTAGACTGTCTTAGACTGTCTTAGACTGTCTTAGACTGTCTTAGACTGTCTTAGTCTGTTTTAGTCTGTTTTAGTCTGTCGTAGTCTGTCATAGTCTGTCATAGCCTGTCGTAGTCAGTCAGTTTCCTTCCCCCAAATCTCCATTAGATTCTTCTAACAGGAGTTAGTTTAGGGATTACTGTTTTAGTCTGTTTTAGTCTGTTTTAGTGTTTAAAAAAAAAAAAAAAATATTGTGTTTAGTATTTTGTTAGTTTAGTCTGTTGGTGTGAAACATGCAGCGCATGTACAGCTTGGAGGAGGCATATGCCTTCTTGGCGTCAGACTCTGACGCCACTGACACTGCGTCCGATTTTGACCCAGGTCAGTTTAGCGGCACGTCTAGTGACATGTCATCTGTGAGTGAGCCAGCTGCTAAAAGAAGCTGTGCTTCCCCTGCTACGCTGAATGTGGAGGAGGACTGGGTACCTCCACAGTTAGCTGAGCCCAACATCCCCCCTTTTAGTGCCAACGCAGGCATTAATGTGAATGTGGTTGACTTCTCCCCTATACAATATATGGAGTTATTTTTAGGGGATACCATCTGGGAGGAGATTGCTTCCCAGACTAATTTATACGCTAGCCAATTTATTGAGACCAATCCAGGTAGCTATACAGTCAGGGAGCATGCTTGGCATCCCACAGATGTCCCTGAACTTAAAACATTCTGGGCTCTTACCATGCTCATGGGGATAATAAAAAAGCCATCAATCCGGTCTTACTGGAGCACCAACCCAATTTGTTCGACTCCTATATTCTCCCAAACAATGCCTAGACCAAGATATGAGCTGCTGCTCAGATACTTACATTTTAACGACAATACGCTCTGTCACCCCAGAGATCACCCTGAATATGATAGGCTTTATAAAATACGCCCACTGGTAGACCATCTTCAGAACAGATTTTCTGAAGTTTATACTCCCCAACAAACTTTATCCATCGATGAATCCCTTATGAAATACAAAGGGAGATTAGGGTTCAAACAATATATCCCCTCAAAGCGGTCTAGGTATGGCATTAAAGTGTACAAACTTTGCGAGAGCGAAAGTGGCTACACATTTGCCTTCCGTGTATACGAGGGGAAAGATGCTCAACTGAACCCTCCTGGCTGTCCTGACTCTCTGGGGACAACTGGGAAACTTGTTTGGGACCTACTGAACCCTTTGTTCAATAAGGGTTACCACCTTTATGTGGACAATTTTTACAGCAGTGTCCACTTGTTTAAAATTCTTTATAGTTTACAGACACTGGCCTGCGGCACTGTAAGAAGAAATGCCAAGGATTTTCCCAGACCTCTCATAGAGGCCAAATTAAAAAAAGGGGAATGCAAAGCTCTGCGCAAGGCTGAACTGCTTGCGCTAAAATTTAAGGACAGGAAGGATGTTCACATGATAACAACCATCCATAACGAGGGCATGTCAGACGTCACTGTCCGAGGCAGGGTACAGACAAAACCGGTGTGCATCAGGGCTTATAACAGGCACATGGGGGGTGTTGATTTGGCTGATCAGCTGATGCAGCCTTATCTTATCTTAAGAAAGACAAAAGCCTGGTATAAAAAGGTGGCTATCTACCTGTTGCAAGTAGCAACACATAATTCATTTTTACTTTTTAAAAAAATTAATCCAGGAAGAACCACCTATCTCCAATTTCAGCTCAAGCTGATTCCCACAATAATTTATGGAGATGGTCAAGTTCCAACGACAGTGCAAGAGTCGTCTAGACATTTTATTTTTAAGATACCGCCAACACCAAAAAAAAGAAACCCCCAGAAACGTTGCCGGGTCTGTTATAAAAAAGGGAAAAGGACAGACACCCCTTTTCACTGTCCCGATTGCCATACAAAACCTGGACTGTGCATTGGAGAATGTTTTAAGGTCTACCACACAGAAAATACATTTTTATAATACTTGTTCCTGATTTATTTTTTTTGTTTATTTTGAAAGCAGCAAATTTCTGTTAGTCAGTATCCTTCCCCCAAATCTCCAGTTAGATTCTTTTTGCAGGAGTTAGTTTACAGATTGCTGCTAACAGAAGTTTTAGTCTCATTTAGTCTGTTTTTTAACTCTGTGTTAGCCAGACTCTGACGCCACTGACACTGCGTCCGATTTTGACCCAGGTCAGTTTTCTGACATGTCATCTGTGTGTGAGCTGGCTGCAAAAGAAGCTGTGCTTTCTCTGCTACGCCGAATGTGGAGGAGGAACAGGTTTCTCCACAG